GGCGGCTGCCCCCCCGCACGGCTGCCTCTGTATCAGCAGGGGCCTCCCTGGAACTGGGGCCAGGAGCTCACTGGCTGCTGCCTGTGCTCCCAGAGACTATCGAATAGTCCTCTCGCTGCAGAGGTTTCATCTGGTTACACACCTAATCAATTACCCGATATCTAACATCCCTCATACCAGCTGCTTTAGAAAACCAGTATAAGAACTCTTCGGTAGGCTGTAATAGTCAGAAGTCACCATTGTACTGTCCTGACATGTCTCCTGCTCTATCAGTGACGATAATAATTTGGCCGCATGCATGTGTACTCCTCTTGTGTGTTGTGTTGACTTCGCGCAGGTAGTTAATACAGCAGACTCCAAGAGAGCACCCGGCCAGATTTATTGTCAAATGAAGTACATTAATAGTTGTCAGGAGACTCTACCAAACCACTGCACATATCTACCCCGACAATGGACCAGCTCAGTCAGTGGGAGGTCCCACTACCACCTAAACCATGACAAAGACGGCCTTCCAAGACACAACTTCATATACAGGTACAAACAAACTACACATCACTTCTGATGTATCAGGCTGCACCCACTGATGTTACCTAGATACCAATCACCCTGCACCTGGTGGTTCGATTAGAACATCTCTATCCATCATGCTGTCATTTTAGACCCTCTCCTGAACCTGGGTCAGTATGTTCCTGTTCTGTGAAGAGTGTGTGTTACATTCTTTCTGGAATGTGCATTGAACCTATGCCCAGTACCAATTACTGTTTTACAGCCTGTACCTAATACCAATTACTGTTCTACACTTGGGCCTGTTACCAATTAGTGTTTTACACTATTAGCCCTGTTTGTGCCAAGTTCTGTGAGCAGGACCTGCCTCTTGCTCACAGATTAGCTTGGCTTTATATTAGTAAAGTCTTGACCACTGTTACGTAGGCCTCAGGCTTGTGCTTCATCAGCTTTTGTTTCAGGCCCTCATCTTACTACACAGGCAAACGTGGGATGATGTGACTCACAGTAGGTAGATAGAAAGCTGGCTAGATTGTCAGGCTCAACAAGCAGTGATCAGTGGCTCAACGTCTGGTTGGCAGAGACAAGCGGAGTGCCCCTAGGATCGGTTCTGGGACCGGTTTTGTTCAACATCTTTATTAATGACCTGGGTGAGAGGATGGATTGCACCCTCAGCAAATTCGCAGATGACACTAAGCTGGGAGAAAAGTAGATACGTTGGAGGGCAGGGATGGGGTCCAGTGTGATTTAGACATATTGGTGGATTGGGCCAAAAGAAATCGGAGGAGGTTCAACAAGGACAAGTGCAAAGTCCTGCACTTGGAACAGAAGAATCCCAAGCACTGCTATATGCTGGGAACCGATTGGCTAAGCAGCAGTTTTGTAGAAAAGTACCTGAGGATTGTAATCGATGAGAAGCTGGATATGAGTCAACAGGGTGCCCTTGTAGCCAAAAAGGCTAATGGCTTATTAGGCTGCATTAGCATGAGCATTGCCAGCAGATCTAGAGAAGTGATTATTCCCCTTTATTTGGCACTGGTGAGGCCACATCTGGAGTATTGCGTCCAGTTCTGGGTCCTCATTACAGTTTGCAGAAGAGTGTGTGTGTGTGTGGGGGGGGGATTTGATAGCGACCTTCAACTCCCTGAAGGGGGGTTCCAAAGAGGCTGGAGAGAGGCTGTTCTCAGTGGTGTCAGATGGCAGAACAAGGAGCAACGGTCTCACGTTGCAGTGGCGGAGGTCTAGGTTGGATATTGGGAAAAACAATTTCCCTAGAAGGGTGGGGAAGCCCTGGGCTGGGTTCCCTAGGGTGGTGGTGGAATCTCCATCCCTAGAGGTGTTTAAGTCCCAGCTTGACTAAGTCCCAGCTTGACAAAGCCCTAGCTGAGATGATTTAGTTGGGATTGGCCCTGCTTTGGGCAGGGGGTTGGACTCAATGACCTTCCAAAGTCTCTGCCAACCCCTATGGTTCTAACTGGCTCGGAAAGCTTACTCTGGGAGTAATTGTCAGTGGTTCTCAAGCAAGCAAGACGGGCATATTGAATGGCGGTCCTGGTTCTGTCATAGATCTGGCTCTGTTCAGGATCTTCTGAATGATTTGGAGAATGACAGAGAGTGTACACTGATAGTTTAACTGCTGCAGGCCTCTCAGCTTGGTGTCAAATGCTTTGAAGGCTGGGAGTAGAATTCAAAATGAATTTGACAAACTAGGGAAATGGTCTGAATTACATAGGGGGAAATTTAGTAACAACACGGAGTAGTGTACTTTGGAAGGAATTATCAGTTGCACAAACACACAATGTGAAGTGCCTATTTTGAAGGAAGACTGCACAGAAGGATCTCAGTGTTATCGTAGATCACAAACTAAATATGAATCAGCAATGTATTTAAGTTGCAAAAAAAAAAAAATCATTTGAACATGTAATGGAAGGAGTGTTGTAAGCAAGACACAGTAATTATTCTGTTCTGTTCAGCGCCGATAAGGCTTCAGCCGGAGTACTATGTCCCATTCTGAGCAACATGCTTCAGAAGCAATGTGGACAGACTAGAGAAAGTCCAAAGAGCAACGAAGATGATTAAAGGTTTAGAAAACATGACCTACAACAAAATATTGAAAAAAATTGAGTTTGTTTAGTCTGGAGAAGGAAGATTGAGGGATGACATGATAGTCTTCAAGTATGTATAAGATTGATTATTAAGAGGAGGGTAATAAATTGTTCCCCTGAATCACTGAGGATAGGACAAAAAATAATGGTCTTAAATTGTGGCAAAGGAGATTTAGGTTGGATATTAGGAAATGCTTCCTGACTAGCAGGGTAGGTAAGCACTGAAACGGTTTACCTAGGGAATCTGAGAACCTCTGTTATTTGAGGTTTTAAAAAATAAGTTAGACCAGTGGTCCCCAACCTTTTTAGGTTGTCGGGCGCAGGGTGCATTGCCGTTTGCTCGCCGGGCGCCAGGGGGCGGGGCCCGGGGCGCCCCCCCATCCACGCGCCCGGGGGCGGGGCTCT